GAAATATATTGATAACGAATTAAATTTAACGTTAATCATGTGGCAAAATAATAGCAGAAAATTACATTTCGTTGGATGCTCTGAATAAAATTTGCATTCTAATAATTAAGATTAAATATTAATTCAAGGATTATTTTAATCTGGATTATTGTACCGTGTTTATTACTTGTTATTGATTGAACATTACATATGCAGGTATGTATTTATATTTAATGGCAACGGAGAAAGTTTTTATGAAAAATTGGAGATTATCATTTACTGTTGAATATCAGAATCTTTATTTTATCGATTCCCAATATTAAGTAGAATTATTATAAAATTATGTTTTCACAGAAATTGTATTAAACCAAATTGGTTATACCACTGCTAATCTTACTCAAGCATATTAAGTAGACTCAGAATAGGACACACGAAGCTCACACATTCATATCTACCCTCTAAAACCAACCCTCCAATTTGTAATGTATGTAATTGCCAAATAACCGTAAAGCACATTCTTTTAATCTTCCCTAAATATGAGATAGTCCGTTCCAAATTCCAAATTAAAGAAGCTTTGAATGAAAATCTCAGTAATCATCAGAAAACACTGAAACTATTCTCCTTCCTATAGAACTTAATGTTCTACAATGAAATCTGATTTCTCCTAACTTATTTACTCCGAATCATCGTTGGTAATAACCATATATGAGCAGTTAATGCGACATTAACACTCGTTAAAGAAAAAAAACCAATACGGTCACTGAAAATACGTCATGTACCATTGTCTTTTGATTACATTAGACGCATGCTCCGCAAAACTTATTGTTAGTCTCAAGAGCCCCACTTGTGCAGTTCCAATTTCTAGGTATTGCAATTTTCTTGGCGAGCAGTGTATTTCTACAATACGTGAAAAACCGACTTTTTGAAACCGAGAAACGTACATGTTTCGCACATATGTTGCATAACGCAATTATGCGTTACCTAACTAACAAACTGTTAAAATAATGCACGAAAACGGTCGTGCTTGCCGTATGGCTGCGCAGTTGATACATGAAATAAAAAAGAAATCTACATGGAACTTCACTTTAGCAGGCTATGGCGGGAGCAACTCGTTTGGATGAATCTCACACTTCGACGAATCGCCCTACACCGCAACGGGAAGTAATTAGGGATTCACAGTCGATCGTGTTGCGCGCTGCATCAAGTAAGTCGACCAATTTACCAAGGAGAAATGTACAACTGCGCAGAGCTGGAAAGATTTCTCTCAGGAATAGGGGCAAGAGGGGTGTACCGCTTACACCGCTCGAATCTTCCGCCACGCGGTGCTTTGTGAGCCATAAATTGTCAGAAGCCAAAATGACTAACTCTGACAAGTTAAATTTTGTTGAAATTCGCTGTAAGCAGAGAAGGTTTTTGACAGGAAGTTTATTTTACCCCTTGCTGGCCTGAGGACTCCAACAAACCAAAACAGTCGGCTCAAATACACACCCACGCTCAGGAGCGCTACAAAACCTTTCAATACAGTATTATTTTCATACAGTAAACTTTAAGATCACATATACATTATTATATATTAACCGTTTATGTACATATTAGATCACATATATTTCCACTGCATTTATATTTACCATTAACCCTTAACGGGTGACTGGAGTCACCCATCGTTTGACGCTCACTGTGTACTGCAATAAACAATTTTTAAACAATTTTTAAAATTACATTACATTGCAATATCCCGTCCTGTATCTACTCCGCGATAAAATATACGCTCGCATTGTAACTGACCCATACAGTCAAACCTTATTTGCGACGAGAGTGTCCGTAGAGCGGAAGTATATGTAGAAACCACGTGTTGTTCTCTACAAATATAAAAATTCTAACAAATTTATTAAATTCTTATTTATAAAGATTTAAGCATCAAGCATGTGCTTTGATACTACAATTGGAACAATTTCAACAAGTGGAGTTAATCATTTTCGCTTCTGAGTGGGTCATATGATCCGATTCGTCGATGTTATCGCGTTCGGTCAATAATGACAATACGTGTGCCTCATTTCTACGATTGTGTTAGAAAAGGTGGATTTATAGGGATATAACCCAATCAGATCTGCCATTTCTTTCACGGGCAATCTTTCCAGCTTTGTATAGCACACGTTCGGTTAGCGAGTAATCATTCTCGTTTATTATGAAAACAACATACGGAAGTTGCAGAAAAAGCAGCGATTTCGGATGAAGTGAAGGAGGGGCAAAGCGTAGAATAACCTACGTCCAAAATCACTGCCTTGACTTTATTCCAATACATAGGTACACGTTTTTCTCGTCATAAAAGAGAGTGAAACAGCGGCAAACTTTCACTTTTCACAACAATTGCAGAATAAAAGTATGCACAATTTTATGTAGTTTGGTGAAGAATCATGGAAATGATGTATGGTGATTTATAATTGTGAATGAAATATTCCTTTGAATGAAAGTTTACACGACTGTACAATTGCATAATTTATTATTTCCTTCATGAATTATTTGTTTAACATGGTGGATGATTACCGTAGAAATGAAAAATAACAATTAATTCCTAAGAAAGAAATCGCAGTGAATAATAATTTTGTGAAAGAGTATTTTCGAATTTCTGAAAGATGATTTTATTCTATAGGATATTTGTATGAATTGTGCTGCTGTGTTATGCGAAAGTTATCTGTTCATATAATCCTTTCCCAACAACTGATGATTCATTTCATGTATGAAGAAATTGTTTGCTCAAATTTCTATGAGAAATATTCGTATACAGTATGACTCTGTATAACGCGATAAAAAAAAAAAAACACATTCTGAATTTGTAATTTTGGGTTAATTAAATTTGACCTAAACAGTGATGTTGGTGGAACTTAATTTGCATTAAGTTTCCTGCGTTATAGGGTGTCCTACTGTATCCTAATAAATAAAATGAATAATAATAAATTTTTAATATTCGTGCAAGAACTATCAAGTTACTGCTTTCGTAAAAAGTATTGAAAACATAATTTTTTCAATCCGCTCACTGTTTGAATTACAAGAGAAAATATCGTTACATATTTAAACAATACATTTCCCTTGTCTTCTTCTGCACTTACAGTTCTCCATACTGAATACAAACTCGATTTAAAGAGGTTCAGGTTAATTCAAGCCTAAAATTGTCAAGCACACTCTATAGTAACCCATGTATCAACATTCTTCAAGAAAATAACATCATCTTGGAATCATATAAACTTTTACGATTACACGTAAAAATTTGTAGAAGTTTGCGTAAAAAATCATAAAAGTTTATATGGTCTGGCACAAGCGTAACAGGCTGTTGAGGCTATTTCATATTTTCTTTCGTTACAAAACTTTTAACAGATGCTATCCAACTCATAACACACCTTGTTCGACGGAAGGACAGAATTGTTGTTAATACACATAAACTGAAGGACAACCAGCAAACGGTTCACTTGATACATGGTATTCTGGGTTAACGTGCCTTTTTTGTATACCAACAAACTTTTTGTTTAATACCAATGAACTTTTGTTTGAAATTTAGAAGAACGATTTATGTTGCACCCTGTGTAACATAACATTATAACAAATTAAATATCAAATACATTAATATACAAGATTTTCTATAAATAATGATACATTAAAAGGGTTATTAATATAAGCAAAGAAATGACTAATCGTAATGCAAAAGAAAATTTCTTATTGAAATCTTCGTTTTCAAGAAGAAAACTATAAATTTCTTCATTACATTAAAGAAATACTTCTAATCATTGTACAATTACCATGCATTAATATTTCAGTTAATCATTAATAATTAAATACAATTTCATTTTTTAAAAATAT